TGTGAAAAAAAAAAAAGTAAAGTCACCGGTTTTTCAGCTTTACAGGTATCATCATAATATGCCCATACATTTTCGCTTTCAACAGTATGTTTAGGAAACGAATTTTCATCAATACATGCGTACCCAGTTCTTTGCAAGAGAAATTCAGGATCTACAGGCAATATCCAACTATCTACAATTCAATGTAAGAGCATACTTAGATTCCCAGTGAAAAGTATTTGTATAAAAATTTGTAAATTAATATGACAATTTTAATACAATTGTGAGCATTTGTGCAATTTTTGTTACAGCGTTTGTAATAAATATATAATAAATGAAATCATATGCTATTATTTTTTTTTATTATACATTTATTTACAAATACTATGACAAAAACTGTATGAATGCTCATAATTGTATTAAAATTATCTTACAATTTTTATACAAATACTATTTATTGGGATTTAATTCATTATCGTTATCGTTATGCTTTGTCAACGAACATTATTGCGAAATCGGATGACTTTATCGGATCACATATACAATTTGGCATAGAACTTGTTATATCTTGTTTTGATACAGGTATTTCCTGATCAATATCGTGATAGCATATGATTGTTGAAAATATGAATTACTATGATAGGAAAGATTGTTCCAAGAATATTTAAGGGAAAGAATGTTTTCCTTCTTTTCGCATTTTTTGCAGAAATTTCCGGGTCGGAATGGTCGGAATGGCCGGAATGCATTGTGGTTGGGGTCGGTGGTAGGGTTAGCAGGAGCTATAGTAAAATTATCAGCTAGGCATTTTTTGCTTAATGAACGACTATCGTTTCAATAGTAAAATTCTTAGTGATCTTGGGCAAAATCAATCGATTCCGGCCCATCCAACCAAGGTTCCGATGCATCCCGACCCGGAAGTTTGGGGTTCTTCCTGTATGAGTTGTCGTTCGCCTTGCAATGAAGGCTGGCTCTATCGTTCTGCCCTATCCACCCTTCGTTCAGTGCCTCATAAGTTAAAGAGGTTTAAGGATTTTATGTTTGATGATTAGACACCACAACTACGATGGCAGTGCAAGGTCTTTCTTTATGTTGGTGATTAGGTTCCGTAGCTTCAGAAGCGGTGTAAAGACCTGATGTTTGCAATTAGGCTCCATAACCGCGATAGCAATGCAAGGACCTCGTGTTGGCAATTAGGCATCGCAGCTATAATAGTTGTGCATGGCCTATGTTTGATATTTAGGCTTCCGGCTGTAATATAGCAGTGCAGGGACCTTATGTTGTGATTAGGCTCTGCGGTTGCAACAGCAGTGCAAGGACCTCATTTTGATGACTAGGCTCCACAGCTGCAATAGCAGTGCAAGGACCTCAGGTTTATGATTAGGCTCCGGGTTGCAAAAGTAGTGTAAGGACCTCAGGTAGATATTAGGCTCCGCGGCTGCAATAGCAGTGCAAGGACCCCATGTTGCGATTAGGTTCTGCGGCTACAATAGCAGTGTAAGGACCTATGGGTAAGTAACAGTACCCACGTCACTATGTAATACTAATAACCGATTCTCGTTACAGCTATGTGAATTTTTCTTGGCTCTCATGCGAAGATTCAATAGATTAAGACGGATGTTAGTTTCTGATGTGCTTATTTCTTAGAGTCTAGATATTTCAATATGCATGATATAGTGCTTGTAATTGATAGCGAATGGAATCCCCATATGTTCTTTGTCCAAATAAAGTCATCTGATTGAGCAATATTAAAATGAAGTATAATGAATTTGATAGTTTAAAACTCACCTGACCATTTTCCACCAATTACATTCAAAGCTGGTTCAGACCTGTTGATGGTTAATGCATCGGTAACCAAGACAGAATAAAAATCGACGTCCACAGCAATGTAATCGTGATCACCAATTTTCGTTCTATATGCTTTACCAAGGTTAAATTCCCAAACTTCTTCTGGAGGTAGTGTCAATTGTTTCTTATCATGATAAACAAAACTACGAAAAACTTGTCGATATTCAGTAAAAATTGTTTGCATATGTGCTTTTTTGATCCAAAAATCTTTATTTTGCTCCAAATAATAATTTGCTACTTTTTCACG